TCACTTCGGACCTTGGTTAATATATCAGGGCTTTAATAACAAAACAGGAAGCTACAAAATCACCCTAAATGTGCGATGTTTCATGTTTTGTAAAACCATTAAATACTCCCTGCTTCTCTTATGAGAAAATACTTTAGTTAAAAATCGTCAGAGATTATTGTTTATAAAGAGGTTTGATTGTTGACGCCTGTTCCAATAGAGAAAGTAACTCATTACTCTTCCTGAGTAACTGGCCCAACGCTGCATGTGACAAGATAAAATTAAACAGCAAGAAAACGTTGCAGGAAGGAGAAGAAGAGTCCGAGACGCTCAGTGAGTAAAGAGTGAAGTCAGTCATTAATGCTCTGCAGCAGATGTGTTGAAGGTGGGCGAGTCAGTAAAACAGGATGAGGTTATGGTATTGTACCATCTGCACAGTAGGCTCTCTCTCTCTCACACACACACACACACACACACACACACACAGACACACACACACACATCCTGTAAACAGCAGAACAACAAGCTGCATCCAGCTCGCAGTCTGTGAACTTTAAACCAAGTTGCTTCCCCCCCTCTAAACAAACAAAGTAAATCAGCATCAACAGACGACACGCTGCATAAATATCCAGGTTCCAAACATCAGCCCCCTCTGCACGTGCCCCCCCACCCCCACCCCCACCACCAGAGGGTTAAATGACAGACGCTCCAGCTTCCTACGCCCATCTGGGTCTATTTTTACTGGAGGTAAGGAGGCGCTGATGAGGTGGTCGATCATCTCATCTCCTCTTGCTCCTACACTTTGTTCCACAGAGTGAGCGCAGCATTGCACAGAACTTAAAGTCAAACTTTGAATATTATTTAAAAACAAACAACAAAGCAAACAAACACAGACTCTGAGGAGAAATCCATCCTAAAAAAAAAAAAAAAAAAAAGCTGCTGTTGGCAAACAAACCTGCCACTTTCAGGCCCATTTTTGCTGCGTGGATGCATGTTTTTATTTTTAGATATTTCTAGCACATTGTTCTACAACCGTTCGGAGGAATGAAGAGACAAAAATACCAACTTCTGCTCTGGAAGTAAACAGATCCCAGTGCAGTGCAGTGAGATTCAGAGTGAGGAGCAAACAAACTTTACTTCACCAGCTGGAAGTAACCGCAGGGATTTTGGGATTTTTCTGACTGAACTTTGGAAAATGTAGGAAAAAGGTTAGTGAGCTTTAACGTCAGTTGGGTGAAAAAACTAAAGGAAAAACTGGAACATAAACATAATGAATGAAAGTGGTTAAATACAAGCAAACGGTCACGTGTGGATCGACTTGTTGATTGAAGGCGTAGTCGCTCTGCGTATCACTGCTAACAGTAGGTGGGGAGGTTAGTTTGCAATCTGCCTATAAACGCAGAAGAAGAAGAAGAAGAAGAAGAAGAAGAAGAGTACACTTGGTGTTCACATTTTAAATTGCAGTCTGCTTCCATGAACCATGTGGTCGCATGAGGCGTACTTCAGAGCCACCTTCCCTCGCCACACAGTGCTGTGACACAGAGCTCTGACGCTGTGGTGGAGGCTCAGGGTGGATCGACACCTTAGCAAATGATGCGGTTCGAATTTATTTTCCGCTTTCCCACACTTTCAAAACTTTAATTCTGACGTCATCGCACTTAGACTAAAGATCCCTTCGCCCACATTCGCCCGAGCCAATCAGTCTCTGGTTGCTGTTAAACCACCGCTGCATACCTGTCATTCAGACCTCCCACCTTCCACCTGCTGACTCTACGCCACCACCAGCAGCATGGTGAGGGATCCTGTCCTACCTCCTACCTTCTTTGGGTCGCTTCTCATCATCTACTTTCCTCTGTTTCTACCTCAGTAAACACAGTCACCACATGGTGACTCCTTATTGAAATGCAGGTGTTGAGGAATTCATTGTATAATAATCCTTCCACATCATCAATAAATCAACTGAAGGTCAGATTTTCCTCCTTAAACGCTCCTTCGTGAGTGACCCTGAATATTCACATTCACAGCAGCACACACATTATTCTGCAGGATGTGTGTCGGCACATGAAGATGTCACACACAGATACGGTTTCTGCAACCCTGAAGTCACAGTCACGGCGGGGACGCTGAAATATCTCTGTCCCCGCCTGCTGACGGAGGATCCCAGGATCCTTTGCACCGCAGCGGCACTTTGATGTTTCCCTGAGCTGACGTCTCTCAGCGGCGTCCGCTGCTGCTGCTGCTAATTCGCTGATGTTTCCACTCTCTCATGCACAGCACCTTCAGCGCGGCGAGGGAGAGGATGAGAGAAAGCTCTGACGTGAGTGGATCTGATGGTCAACACAGAGCGCTCTGTCTATACAGCAGGCGACATAACAGCCATCGATGCTCAAGAGCTGCTGGTGATGTGTCACGCTGAGGTTTCAAGAGCCACTCAAAAATCCAAGATGGCCGCCATTTATGCCTTTTTTTCGCAATAAATTCATCCACCGTTTTCTATTATTGCTCAAAAAGAAAAAAAGAAGCTTGCTAACTAGCCTAACGCTAGCGAGTTAGCCTAGCGAGCTAATGTTAAGACAAGTTAACAAGTAGACTGTCGACTCTTGCAGAACCTTTGGTTTGTCATTCATAATAAATGTGTTTAATGGAGAAGTTTTCACATCACATATTTGATCCCGTTGGTAAAATTCTGTGGCAGAAGTGGCTGATGGGATTTTTCTAATGAAAGGCCCCAGAGGGAGAGACATGTTTCTGCGCTTGTGCCCGCTGCTCTAACAGCACAGTACGCCCCGTGTCAGCTTTGCTGGGTGCACTTCGGTGTGAAGCCGAGAGCCTGAGCAGATCACTTCATTAGGCGGGGGGGGGGAAGCCAGCAGATGTAAAATGCCACCAGATGTTTCAAACTCCGCTAAACTGCAAAAAAACTGCGTTCATTAACGGCATCACTCCGACCGACTGGGAACCACAATGGAGCCACAGTCTGAGGGCAACGCTGACATTTCAGTGAATAGTTGCACAGCCCACACTGGCACAGTCATTATCGTGGAGGTAACAAGCAGGGAGGAGGAGGGGGGGGGGGTTGAACACTCAGCTTTGAAGCTGCAAGGAGGCAAACGGCGAACACAAGTATGTTTGTCTCATGGCTGCGAATAATTCTAGCAATGAATATCAATGTCGGGATAATGTGAGGATAATTACCACTGTGCTGCTTCGCTCCTCTTTCTGCACAACGCAGGAACTCGCAGAGAGAGTCATGAAAACATGATTGGAATCAGTGACTCATTTTCTGCTTCTCACCAGCCTACAACACCACCCACCCAGAAACACACACACACACACACACACACACACACACACACACACACCTGCTCCACGCTCACACAGTAAGTGTTCTTGATGTGCTACCGCAGCAGATCTGCAGAGCGTCCTCTGACGCCTGCTGTGATCTTGTGGCGCGTCTTCCTCGCCACGGCCGCCTCACACGCCGAGAGGCTCTTCTTCCTAAAAACACTGAGTCACTCGCAAATTCCGCTCCGAAACGAGGCCCGAGACACGCGGCAGAGGCGACGTGGGAAACCGGAGCACGCGTAATAAAGGAGCTATTAGCGCAGCGACGGCTGAGCCTGTAGAATGAATACACCTCCTATGGGTGTCGAACGCTCAGCTGACTCCTTGTTCAGTTGTTTCCACCAGCCCATTGGTGAAGTCAATGGTTGCAGAGCAAGTGAAGCTCACTAACAGCTGGTCTCGGGCTGGTCTCCATAGAAACTGACCTGCGATTTGGATACTGCACTCGGCCGTATTGCGATTTCGATTACTGTTACGATTTAATCCAACATATGACTAAAGACAAAGACTGAGCTGGGGTTTGTAAAATCATCACTCAGAGAGAAAGTTAGAAGAGACAATGACTATCTTTTTTTTTACATCATCTCTCAGCCTCCGTTGTCAGGGTAACAAACTGCTGCTCCACCTCTCTGCCACAGAGAGTGTGAGGTCATACTGATGACTCTCTTCTATGGAAAATAGCTGAACTTTGTCACTAGGTGCTTTTTTGAAAAACTGGTCATTAACGCTCTGAGGTCGACGGATGTTTCTATTCATATCTTTGTGGTAATAGAGCGTGGAGATATGGTTCAATGTTGTTAAAACCTGTGGACTCTCAACTTTCTGCTTCACATTCTCTTGTGAGATTGTACATGAGTGAAAGCCGCAGCTGGAAGGCCTCGAAGCAGGCCTCTAAAATTTAGTGAAAGCAGAGTGAGAGACAAACGCTTCGACTCCGTGATATTACAAAATCTCATTTAAGGCATTTATTATACATTTATCTACGATTTCACTCATATATTTTATATGAGCCTGAGACTTTAACACATTTCAGTTCATCCACATCAGTAATTTGGAGAATTTCAAAAACCAGGCTTCAGTTTTTCATCCTTCGGGTTGACCTCACATTAACCCCCGCGGCCCAGTCCGGCCCGACCTCACTGCGGCGCTGCGGCTCCGAGATGGAGGCGGCAGCAACAGACAGCTGCGTGAAGACATGAAGGAATCCAACACTTTAGCTCTCAGCCGTCTTCATGGGTCGTCCTGTAACAACATCCACGTGCCGCTCCAGTGACTAAGGACACGCGAGGTGGCAGTTTAGGACTGAAACACCTGCAGCCAACGTTAACGCACCACAGGTACGTGTTCGTGCTAGAGACAGCAGATCGGCCTCTGGCAAACAATCTCAGCTACTGATGGCCAGCTGGTGGGAATCTGTGTGTGTGTGTGTGTGTGTGTGTGTGTGTGTGTGTGTGTGTGTGTGTGTGTGCGCTCCACTATCCCCATGACCCACATGCATTCGAAGACAAGGAAAATCCTCCAGAACGAGCATGTGTTACCGTCCGTCCATCTGCCGTCAGTGTGTACACAAGGTTATTCTCATATGGTGATGTGATGCGAGTAAACACGCCTGAACCCATCCACGTGTGTGTGTGTGTGTGTGTGTGTGTGTGTGCGGAGTGTGTGCAGCGTCGTACCTCTGGTTTTCAGCGTTTCAGGATCTTTATTTCCTCCACATTGCTTTGTTGCGCCGCCAAAACAAGAGGCCCTGCAGGGACACACAGATGCTCAATTATTAATCGTCCCCATTCAATAAAACATGGATATCAACTGCGTGTGCCAACCGCCGTCATTCACGCTTCTTTGTGAAAATAGGTCTTGGCGAAACTTTCCCAGAATGCTTCAGGACGACGCCAAGGGACTGTCGGCCTTAACTTCTATAAGTGCGGCTTTTTGTGACCCATCGTCATGGTGATCAAACACCAAACAGTGCGATAAACAACGAAGGGGAGGTCGATAAACACAGATTCGTCCAGTGTCGGAGCCGCCGGCGTTGACCTGCAGCCTGAGTGACCGCCACGTTCCACTGCTCCGGAGTTTTTCTGTTTTTCTCCAGGTGGATTTTTCTTTTTTAGAAATGCATTCATTCATAAATGTAGAGCATCGAAACTCCCTGACGCCACCTGGCACTGCACCTCTCATTTCATGCACAGGAGCATGTTAGTTAATGGAGGCTGTGTGATTATTTTACAGGAAAGAAAACAAACCTCACGAGTCACGTAAAATACGAACCATTTGTGGGAAATAACTGCTGCGTGAAGTTTTGACTGACGGCTACAAAGGTTGTTTTGTGAGGTGACACTGACTTTGACCTTTGACCTTTAGCCACCACAATCTAATCAGTGCAGGTATCGTGTCCACGAGAATCGTACGGAGCCAGTCGACTGTCGACGGACCGGTCTCTGCCCTGGACGTACACGGACACACACACACACACACACACACACATCCAGCAGTTTTAATCACTCACTTATATTCTGGACTTTTTCTGGAACGTTCCTCTCAGCCCTCAGGGTTCAGACCATTAGGAGAGTCTCCAGTAACGAGAGAATAAGTGCTTTGTAAATCTCAGAACTGTGGAAAACAGAGCAGTGAAACCATTTACAGTTGTGATAAAGGAGCTCAGATCTTTTAGTTCTCCTGCTTTGGTAAATTTTTCCGCTGATGCTTTGATTGAGACTCAATAACTCCCGACATCAGAATAAGTCCTTTGTAAACTTCAGAGCTGTGAGCGAATAAAAAAAAATAAAAAAAAGTACAGAACTAACCCATGAAGGGCTTTTCTGATGCACTACATGGCAACTTTTATTCAGCAGATAAATCTCCACCAGGCGTGGATAAACTTTACAGTAGCTGCCAGCTCTCTGACTGACAGCAGAATCACACAGTGGAGTCATTGTGTGGCAGCAGGGTCGGGGGTTAACTGCATGGTGCGCCTCCTAACTGCCCTTTCTTCACAAAAGACGCGCTGTCTCTGCTGCCAAATACGGTCCAACTCATTAGCTGCTGCTCTGACTTTAAAGCTCGGCCCTTGCTGATCTAATTTAATCTATCTCCGTGGCTTCACTGTTTGTTAGCGGAGCGGCACAGACGCTGCAGATGCATGCGGCTTCGCTGATGTGATGCAATCGTTTGTTTTGCAAAAAGCAGCCGCCCACGTGAAAAGCTGCTGCTGCTGCTGCTGCTGCTGCTGCTGCTGGTGCTGGTGGTGGTTTGTGGGGGTCTGTTACATGAATGTTTCCTGTTATTGGCTGTATTAAGCCTCCACAGACGGAACAATTCATTTGACTTTGAAGTGAGCTGATTTTATCTGCACAAGATCAATACATGTGAAGCAGAGCATGATGGGGAAACAACCTGAAAAATATACATTATTTTGTGTGTAGCCCATTTTTATCTGGACAGTCACGCTCCAGTGGAACCTGCAGATTATTATCAGCCGAAGTTTGTTTCGAAACAGCGTTGGAAGCCGTCACCGCTCGCTCGGCCCTACCTACTGTTTTCAATCCAAAATCCCTCAGTGGAACAGCTGACTGGCCGACATGTGGGCGAGTGAGGTGGTGTAGAAATAGTAGAAGAAGAGACAGCGGAAAAAACAAAAACAAAGATAATGAGGACAACAGGAAGAGAAGGTCTAACACTTCCTTTCAACTTTTTCTCACCTGCTATAAATGACATTACACACCTTCTTTTATTTTACTCTCTCTTGTAGCCAGGGCAGGGAGGACCGTTACTATAGTAACATCATTACTAGAGTGGGACGTGAGTAAAGTGCAGGTAGTGTTCAAACGCTCGGCCAGGAACTAACCAGCGTTTTCAGCTGCTGGTTGTCCTGTGTTTATTTTAGAGCCGTGTGAGGGAGTCTCAAAATACTCCGACCTCAGTGTGAGTCAAACATGTGATTTAAGTCTTCACCAGCAGAAAATTGCCATTTGGCCGCCCCACATGTCTGTGGACTCCTTCTCCTCCTCCTCCTCCGCTCTCTGCCCGTCGGCCCAGGCAGTCATGGTGACGGGCTCCCAGCAGGCCTTGCTGCGAGTGTTGTGGATCCCCCCCCCGGCCCCAGAGGGAGAGCTGACTCTTGTCTTTTCATCAGCAGCCCCTCTAATAAAACATAATGGCAGTGGGGCTGCGGGGCGAGTCATTCAGCCACACTGAGCTGTCACATGACCCAGCGGAGGCACAACGGGTTCACTCATTCTGCCGCTGCCTGGCTACCGGGGCGGATGAGTGGGCTACCGGACTGAAGTGACACACAGCCGGACCCACACAGAAGGTGCCTGACCTCTGGGCGGGAAGGCGGGAGCTGAGCCGCACAGCCAGAGTTCAAGGCGGGAAAAAAAAAAAAAAAAATCAGGCTTTGTGCTGATTTTTTTTTATTTCGTTTAGCTTCATTTCCTCCGAGGACGCTCGCTGCCAACTCCATACACTGTATGTGTCTATTAGAGCAACTGTCACTGCCAACCCCCGTCTGACGGCCTGGGGAGGCTGAGCAGACTCTGTTCTCCTTTAAACGCTTGATCACTGTTTTATCAGTCAATTACTTTTGTCAGTGACTCACTGATTAAACTAGAATTACCCCACATCCCTGTTTATTTCAGATATTGCTGTGTGAAGTCTTGAGTAATGGCCTTTGACCACCATATTTATTTAATTATCTAAGTCGTTTTTTTTAGAGATATTTTTGAGTTGAATCATCAGATTATTCAAAAATGAGAATAATGGTTAGTTCCTTCTCAAAACGGCGGTGAATTTCCTCCACGCTGAGAACAGTAACAACAATGAAACAGAGGAAACTTCACACGTAAAGAGTCTGTACAATTCACCGTCTCAGCTGCAGGGACACGCTCCCTCACTGGCTTCCCACCCGCGATCACAGCCGCTCGTACTCTTCGGGGACCGGGGGCCAAGCCGGGGGGGCCAAGCCGGAGGTGCCCCCCCCCCCCTGCTTTCCGTCTACACCGCAGACGGAGCCGTTCCCTGTACAACTGAACATAAAGCTCCTCGTCAGCCGCCCACGTCTGGTTCAATTCAGGGCCAGTCTCTGAAGGGTATGTAGGGCTCTTTGCCATTTCAATAATAGCTGCATTTGCAAAGCTTACAGCTGCAGGCTACAGCCTTTACACGGATTTAGAGCAACCTTACAGACGGTGGGGTAGTTCAGTCGTGTTAATATATTTCCGCTGCCTGTGAGGTTTTTTTTTTTTTTCCTGAAACGTTGCATGAAGTTTCTGGTGAAGACGTGACATGCTAGCACACCGGTTAAATCCTCAACGTTTCATCCGCGTTCCCACGAGCCCTGACGGATGAGATGCGATGTGATTGACAGGTCAGGACCGTCGGTGGCCTGCCGGCTCTCACACGCAGAGGCTGACTGACAGACGCCGCTAAGGAGTGGATTAAAATGGCCAGTTTTCCTCCCGGCAGATTAGAGTTCTCTCTGCGCTGGATTCAAACGTGGGGGAAAAAGAAAACTCCAACTGTAGCGACACGCTTGACTTTGAGGGCGACAGAGCGTCTTGTTTTCCAGCAGAAACTTGCCTATGAGCTTGACCTATGGACCCGTCAGTTGCCTGAGATAATCACTAACTGGGATCAGCGCCTCACGGCCGTCTGCCTCCACCACTCAGACCAGTCTCAGATTACGTCCCTGTCATAACTGCTGTGTGTCTCGAGTAAAAGTGTTTTTTTTTTGTGAGGTCACGCTGGCGTTGACCTTTGACCTTTGACCACCAAAATCAAATCGGAGCGAGTGAAGCCGCGTTGACCAGCTTCTCCAACCCTGATCAAAACCACACTGTATATACAAAACGTCCACAGAGGGAGTCACATCTCTGGCGCATCAACATGCGACAGAGCGTCCTGAAGATAAAGCCCTGTCACTCCGCCAACAGGGGTTTATCCCTCGGTGATGTCACAGCCGGTGGTGAAGGCCCCAGCGCCAACATGACGCCACAGACCTGGACGAGCGATCGTCTCCTTTGTCAGCATCTGGCAGCTGCATCAGCAATGCAGAGAAAATGACGCTGCACAGTCAAGGCGAGAGCGCGGAGTTACACAGAGGGCAGACAGGAAGCAGAGTTCAGGAGACTGTGTGCTGCAGTGGAAATTGGCCATAATAGAATCTCTCTGATACACGGTCACTGTCTGAGGCTCAGAAGACTTTTTCCACATAAACAGAAACTCACATTGAGCTCCGGGAGGAAACCTGCGTGCACGAAGCTAAATCAGAAACAGTGAAATTCATACAAAACCATAAAGCAATGCATTTTTGCAATGCAGATTTTCCAGCAGCGTGGTGCACGTGCAGCACAGTCTGGCTTTGTTGAGGCAGAATATGGCCTTTGTCACTCACACATGACATTAGACGCAGCTGGAAATTTCACAGCAAGTTAATTATGTATGAAAAACGTCTCTCGGCCATTAACATATGTAGAGACACGGGCGCTTTTGTTTTCCCCTTCAAAATACAAACACTTGTCATGGGTCCGCCCGCCGCCGCCGTAAACATATCATTAATAAATAACGAAGCGTAGTGAGATGTGTCGTTCTCCTCGCTCGCCCTTTCAGCGAGGAGAACGACGCCCACATGATTGCTGCCTCCAGACGCTCCAGTGTTCACTGTGCTCTTAAAGCTAGTCGTCAACACGGAACCATCCCATAATTCACATCAGAGCCAGATACAGATCAGAAAGTTATTAATAACAG